CCCCAAAACCCCAAAACCCCAAAACCCCAAAACCCCAAAACCCCAAAACCCCAAAACCCCAGAAATATAAAATAATTTGAATATGTTTTCTGTTAACTATGAATTCTACACTCAGGAGAGGGTAATCAGATACACTCCACCCACCCTGAAGCAGAAACGCAAGGAATATCGCCAAGACAGGATTGAGGAAAGCAACTTTTTGCTTGATGGAGAGGAAAATGTTGACTCTGATGTCTCTTCTGAGAAGAAAATTATCAATATCATCCCAAATTCACGTATAAAAATTACTGTAAGTGATTATTGAGGCTGTCAGACATGCTTTTTAGCCAAAATGACTGACATCTAAAGACTTTGAGCATTTTCTGTTTAATTTTATCAAAATTGTTAAACTTATCATGAACTCAGCGAAATTAATTCTTTTAATTACAAAGGAATTAAGAAATATTGGATAAATTATAAATATAGGAAAAATTTTAACGAATCAGGCTCAAGATTAGGAGAAAGAAAAATATCAGCAACTCCTAAGCTAGACTGTGATATGAGACCAAAAGTCTATGTAAGGTTTGCCTCTTATTAGAGATTTACTCTAACTTTTATCAGTTTAACCTACATACTCATGTTGATCTTCAGGATTGTCTACTTAGGGCAAGCTTCTTATATCCTTCATCATTTTTTTTATGCTAAAATTTCCTCATAGCAACTTAGGTCAAGAGACAACGAGAGGGTATCAAAATACAACTCCTTTGGAGCAATGAAAAATGTGATTCCAAATGTACGAATCTGAAATAGCTCTCGAGCTAATTATGGTAACCAGCTCCAAACCGAGCCCATAACGACCTCCAGAGCCCAAGACAGTTACGAAGACAGTGATGAATATTGGTTTGGAGAAAATAAACATGATCGGAATGTATCAATGGCTGGCAATGGTATCCTTCCTAGCCAAGTTATATTTGGTAGTGATCATGGAATACAAATAGTCAATCCAGATACTGAAGATTATGATACGATTGTTTCTCACCAGTTGTCTCAGAAGACCTTCCGAGCTAGCACTCAGAAGCTCCCAACACCATGATTCAATAATGCTTCGAATAAGAAGAGTAAAATGAGAAGGCCAAGGAACGAGGTTCGGTCGAAGAATTAACCTGGTCAAGAATGAAACTATGAAGCTTCAATTTATGAATGAAAATAAGGAAAATGTAATTTTCAATTCAAGGTATTATACTTGTCTAAGAGCTGTATAGGAAATCCTTTTATCAGAAAACTCAAAAATCAAGTGTAAATACAATGATGAAGACTATGAATAACCTAAAGTTTATTCCAAGGATGCCTCTACAATCCATCAGCACTTCTAATTGAGTGGATTTTTACAAAGTCTCAAGCACTCAAGAGAAGAATATATGTAAATTTAAAAAGAGCACCAGTCGGAAGAAGTTCAAGAAGGTTATGCATCGATAATAACATTCAATTTTAGATTCGATATTGGGGTTTTGGGGTTTTGGGGTTTTGGGGTTTTGGGG